ACGAGGTTGGGTAGGACATGGCACCTGTTGACTGATCATCTCCAAGATCCTCAGTGTACTCGTAGTTGTTCTTCAAGTCCTGCTGTCGTTCGCATGTCCTTCCTCCAATAGTTTCTGGCCCGATCAACGTCATTTCCCAGTACAACTACCTCGTTCGTATGACAAACAAGGCAAACGAGCAATCAACCACTAACCAAGAAGGATTGCAAAAAAGGAGGCAACAACACATGGGAACATTGAATAACACCAAAAGAAACACCGAAAGAAAAGACTTAGCCCTAGCGGAGGATGTCCGAACCTTGGACTTGAAAGAGGTAGGAGTGATGTCTGCTAAGAACAAGCTCGAGTCACAGCCTAGCAAGTACTTCCCATGCCGATCGTGTCGACCTATACGGCTTCACAAATAATGGCCTAGACCCTAGCTTGACTTAAGCAAACACCACGGAAGAACTAGGCTAGCCCTCACGAAGCGAGTCCGTTTTCCTCGGGCTTATAAGGGGTGAGGGAGAAAGTTAGCTAGGCATGTCCATGTCACATCCTCGGTAGCGACTGCACTCTAATGGTCGATCGAGTCGACTCACATGGTTCCTATCATTACATTCACCCGTGCTTTAGCTATGCTTGCTAATATATTGATCAGTAGACATTCCTTTGTTATCTAATAAATCTTTACTCCATTGTTTTCCTGTGGTAAAATATAAATAACAATACCTGGAATACTCCCGGTAAAATACTACAATGGTATTATGTGCGCTTGCGGAATCCTTCATATTCTATTTGCGTTAATAAATACCAACAATGGGTATGGCAACAAAAACTCCAAGGGTATGTATGTCTTTTAGATGAATTAGCACTAAACTTTAGTTCAAGATCCAAATGGCTCTATGGTCTAAAGTTTAGTGGCCAAAGTCTAGTCCTGAGAATCCAAACATGCCCTAAATCTGCATTCTATGACATTACTAGTGGTTTAGGGCCTATTTAGGATAGATCCAGCTCTTAAAAAACACCTCTACTTCTGATTTTTCTTCCCTCTATCTCACAGCACCTAGGCCCGCATGTTAGGTCTTCATCCCGTCTTTCGTCCCCTTCCTACAGTTTGGAGCAGAGCAAGGACCGGGTGACCGATGTTGATGTAGCGGCCGGAGCTTGCGGCACGTGGCCAATGGTGCGGCGTGCGTGTTCAGGGATGAGGCGGCGGCCAAAGCTCCTAGTGTGTGGCCGACGACATGGTGCGCGCGAGCGGTGCAAGGTGACTCCCACAGGGCAGAGCTCATGTGACCGGCCATGGCTCATGCCCAAAAAGGGAGCTTGCATGACCGGTCATGGCTTGCGTCTGGGACGAGAGCTCGTGCACATCTCTGTGCAAACAACCAGTCGCTCTTCTCCATTGGAATTGGCACATGCATGCAGGAGGACAGGCTTAGGCGGATCAGGGAACCAAACAACCCAGAGCGGCCTCTAGACGACCTTCTACATCTCGCTGTACCTGGTAGCCATCGCCCAGAATGGGCACATGTTCGTATTTAGTGTTTGATTAGTTGTAGTTGTGGATGCAAGTTGAGCTGAGTCTATATGTGGTGGGCTAAGATGGTGTTTGGTTGTATGTATTAGAATGGACATGTGCCTAGGACGTGTGGGTCCCTTGCACTGTATAGCTGCATGCGGGGAGCCAAGCCCAGCGTATTTGCTCGATCTGGGCGCACAGCTGAGGCTAGGGTTGAATTGAAGATTCCAGCAACCAATCAATCAACTTTATGTAAGTATATGTATGGCTGGGTGCAGTACTGCCCACATGCACCCTACCGAACACGCCCTAATTCGACGATGTAGAACCTGATGAGTCCTCCTTAGTCCTTCAACAGATGGTATATGGGGCTTTGCACTAGCGGCGGCACCGTGACAGTTGCGTGTTTTTTATTTCCTAGTTGACCAGGTCAAAGGTCGATCTGGACCGTCCATCTGGCGATCCAACGGCTGAGATGTTTTTCTCCTTTCTCTAATCTCTGGGTGTTCCTCGACGCAAGGCCATGGTGGCCGGATAATTTCACGTTCTGATTTCTGGATGGTGTGGAGATGAACTCAGATGGCTGCCGAATTGTCGGACGCTCAGTAGCCGGCCTACAGACGCGCGGTGGCCTTCGGCTCCCGGCTCCAGCGTGAGGGGACGCACGCCATCTTTGTTGGGTGCCGACTACGGTCCATTCACCCGGTGGCCAGCGGCGCTCGGCTATTTCGGCACCGCCTTTTTTTTTTCAGAGTAAAGGACAGGGCTGGGCTGTTCGGCTGCTGCTACTTGTCCGTGTGGGGGCAGAAGCGTCACTAGCATGTTGGCAAATTAGTGTGCACTAGCTAGCGTGAAGCGTGTTGGTTTGGCTATTGCTATCCTCTGTACAAAGGCGCAGGTTTGAACCTAGCTTGCTATTTTTTTGTGATTTTTTTTTTTTTTCAATAGTGCCATCATTAGTTTTCGCAAATATTTTACCAAAAATTAAAAATGCACATTAAGAATTTGATGAATGTTTTAAAATACATTTTTTTTACCGAAAATCAAAACGCTTATGCTTAGATAAGTATCTGAAGCTTAATAAATATTTTTACAACATCTCTACATGCTATTGATGGAGACGACGAAGCCACGCCTAGTTTTGTTTTACCTTAACTTGTTTTCAATATTGTATCAAGAAGCATCTTTACGTGACTATGTATGATTATTAATATGCTTTGCAACGTGTATAAATTATACAAACCATTTAAAGCATGTCTCTAAGTATCATTTTGAGATGGCTTTAGTATCGCATCGAACATCTTTAATTGGCTATGGACCATTTTTTGGTATGCATTGTGACTTGTCTAAATGCTATTGACAATTAAAAACATGATGTTTTCAATATCACTTTAAAAAGTATCTACAAATGCCTTTTGACACTAGAAGCGTTTCTAATGACATGCCATGCTGTTATGTTCACAAAATCATGTTAAAAACATCTTTACATGACCATGTAGAAATGTTTTGTGTGCGTTACTATAAAAGTGTGTCTAGAGGCTCTTTTTCCCATAGAAGCGTTTCTAATGATATGCCATGATGTTATGTTTACAAAATCATGTTAAAAAACATCTTTACATGACCATGTAGAAATGTTTTTAGCGTGCGTTACTATAAAAGTGTGTCTAGAGGCTCTTTTTCCCGTGGTATATGGACCCACTTTAGAGACTCCTTATTCTCACCATTCAACACAGAGTACTCTCATAGCTACCACTTGCATCAATAAAATCGAGAACGTTGTTGTTTGCGGATGATGCAATGCTATTCATCAACCCAAAACCAAATCGTCAAGAACATCCTTGAGGCATTTGGTGGGCCATCCGGCCTACGTATCAACTTTGAAAAAAAAAGCGCACCCAATCTGATGTGAAGATGTGGATCTTCCGCTTTTGTATTTCCTAGGATCATGTGGGAACTTTTCCTTCTCATTACCTTGGTCTCCAACTTCACATCCTCTCCTTACACCTTGGCTTGGACATGAAGTGTCACACAATTACATGGAAATGGATGCCGAATGACATTTACTCGACACGCTCGACATACTGCATCCAATTCAAAGGTGCTTATGGCAGACACAAGCCCAGCTTGATCCAGAAAGTGCATGCAGAAAACAAATGCAAGGTATTCACATGGACATTTATACAAGACAAGATCCTCACAACAAATAACTTAGCAGCTCGAGGTTGGCCACACAAAGTTTCTTGCATTTTATGCAATGGACCGCTGAGACTGGCCACCACCTATGCTTGCTCTGCCCTTTTAATTTGCCGAATCAGTTTTTAGCCAGGTGCTAATTTGAGAGGGTCACAGCTTGGGACAGCTCGTATGTCTATTGGACTTTGCTACCATCGGTGTATGGTGGGAGAAGGTAGCCAAACAAATTCACAAAGACCAACGATGCAAATTTGATGGCACCGTGATCTATATCTTTTGGAATATTTGGAAGGAACAAAACCATAGAGTCAGCTTCGAAAGCCAATTATAGTCGGGCACAACAAGTGACATTATGGGTGATGGAAGACATTGAATAGCGTAGAAGAGCGTTTAGATTCCTACCCATGCATGTAGCCCGCATCTCTCCCTGGTGGTTTGTTTTGGCTCGGTTTCAGCTATGGTGTGTCTAGGCCACAGACTGGACTTGTGTGTGGTCTGTAAACTCTCTTTCCGATCTTAATTGAAAGACCGCACCACTATTGAATTGGTGAATTTAGAATAGGTTTTATGTCCCAATAAAATTTACTCATATACAAACGAAAGCTCTAGATGTTATACACACTAAAGAATTGTTTGAAGCAATTATCTAAAGAATTTTGATGAACATGCATTTTGATGTATCATGAAAGTTACTCATATTAGACTAATGCAATATCCCAAAAGCCAAAATGCCAAAACTACTCCGTTTAAAACCTGTTTCACAAATCTATAATTTTATTGGCATAGGTATAGCTGTATCGCAAACTACACTTCTAGAACCAATTTCACAAAAATATAATTATTTCCTTATCAGTTCACTACCAGAGCACAGGTTTTTCTTGACGGCAAAAACTACACCATTCCTGCTTTCGAAATATTCTTACTGTGGAGTAAGTACAAAAACCAACAACCAAAGTTGTGTGCAGAATATAATACCATGTCAAACAAACTGTGCCCAAAACCGGAACCAAGAGAGAGCTGAGCCAATAAAAGCAACAATTAGCATTGTTGTAAACCCATTTAATTAAGCAATCAGTACATATGTTTTTAACTTAACCTGATCACAGCCTCACAGGTGTTGTAGCATTTGATCATTATGTCTAATCGATATTAGGTTTAGTTCTCCATCAGTAGAGTAGCAAGGAGAATCACACACAACAATACACATCACAATAAGCTAGGTTATGGAACCCAAGAACAGCAAGAGGCAACAGCCAGCTTCCATGGGTCACAGTTCGCTTGAAAAGCTTCTCATGCATGCAGTTTAGAACTGATGAGGGTTATTGTTGGCAGCGTCAGAGTCAGGCGGCGCCAGTTGGTAGCCGAGGTTCAGCTCGGTGGCGAGCATCTGGGGTTGCTGTGCCGCCGCCGCCTCCAGCATCTGAAAGCTGCCAGGGAAGAAGCACTTCATGTCCAGCGTCGCGAAGGGACCGCCAGGGAAGAAGCATTTGGTATCCATCTCCAAGAATGGGTTCAGCTCCACGTTGGTGGCAGCTGCTGCTGCGACAGACCGGGCCACGGTCACCTGCTGCAGCTGTTGCTCTCCCTCCTCAATCTGACAAGACGATTGACAAAATGTTCAGCTGCCATACACGCATGTGTAATTCTGAAGATTATTTATAGTCTTTTTCTTTACTTTCAAGGCTAGGTGGTTATATATGCAAGAAAAAGAAAAGCTTTGGTTATAGTTTGTGACAGAGCATACCTTGGTCCTGAGGTTCATGTGGTCATTCTGAAGCTCAGTCTCCTGCAAACAAGATATGATGCAAACGAATGAATCCAAACAGGATTAGCTAAAATGAATGACATCTGAGGTTTATGTAGGTGACATTTATATGTTACCCTTTTGGCCATGTAATTGATCTCGGCAGCCAGCAGCTCGTTCTGAAACAAGAATTAATTCAGCAATCAGAGTCTGACAACAACTTAGCCACCACGAACTCACAATTTAATTTGACTAAACAAAACTCACAATTACATCAGAACTTGAAGAATTATTGAAACAAAACCATCTTGGGAAGGAATTAATGGTCAGATTATGTACTATATGAAGAATTAAATATCACTTAGTTTGCGATTAGTTTGCTTGAAGATGGTTTGGCTAATGTTATACATTTCTTACCTTCCTGGCCCTGATCTTAGAGATGCCTTTCTCAAGGCGGCTCTCCAGCTGCTTCAGCTCCTTGAGTGACAGATTTCCCACAGAATCACCAACCAAGTGCCTTCACAAGGGAGAAAAATAATCAAAATACAAGCAGTACATACTTCCAGTCACTTATTACAATAATCCTCTTATCAGTAGCATAGAAAGTAAATACTGTGCAGACTACACAACTAAGGCTCGTGTACCTGTTAGTGTTTTGCAGCATCTGGATTTGGTGGCGCAGTTTTGCAGATTCTTGCTGGTAGAATTGCTTCAGCAGATAAAACAAAGAGTTGGAGGAAAGGATCAGATGGATCTCATAATTTTGTACATTGTCCAACTCCAAATTAAGTAAATAGAATATTCAGTTCGATTCAGTAACCAGAGGGAGTCTAAAAACTACTTCAAGGTGTCTGACTATTTCACTTTTAGAAATTTCTTTTTCATTCTATCACATTTCACTGTTTGTTCTGACAAAACCCGGTAGTCTCAGCATGATCATAAAAAATATAGATTTAGTAAATAGATTACGACATGCTGCACATATGTTTAATCTACTCATGCACTATATAGCATGCACTACATACAGACTAGTACTATCGTCAAAGTTTACTTTCAGAAGAATCTTATGCAAACTCTCAATCTATACCTATATGGTTGGCTTCAGTGCGTGTTTGGAGAAAAATTGTAAATCATAAAATGACCACCATATTTTACTGTAAGAACACAGTAAGGTATATATGGCTGGCATGAGTTGGTATTATTACCTGGGCATTGTGCTCTAAGAGCGGGGGCCCAGAGGAAGAGCCAACGGTGTGTGCCTTCTTGTACCTCTCAATCGTAGCCTTCACACTGCAGCAAGCCAGATCAATCAATGGAATAAATTAAGCTAAAGGCATGGAGATGCATAGTGTCAGTATACTGAAGTGACAACGCAGCCTCCATCTGTGTTCTTGCACACTGATAAATAACAAGGCATTTACTCCCTTCGTCCCTAAATGTCTGTCGTTTTCATTTTCCGAGAAACAGCTTTAATTAAATATATATTAAAAAATATTAATATTTATGATACATAATTAGTATCATTGGATATTTGAATCTAGTTTTTTAATAAATTTATTTAGAGATAGAAATGTTGCACGTATTTTCTATAAACTGAGTCAAAGTTATCGGCACATAAATCGTGGCGACTAACATTTTAGTACGGAGGGAGTATATATAGATGTTCACAAGACAGACCACAGCAGTAACACGAAACAGGTGAAAGCCATTAATTGTGAAGTGAAATTTACATATGTATATGAAACGTGTACCCAGTCAATGCATGTGAGCAAGGGTCCCGTTGCAAAGCTGTGCAAAGAATAAAATGCAGCTGTGCTATCATCATTGCTTCTGCTGTTGAAAAGCTTGCTTGGCTGCAGAATGAAGCACAAGAGAGGAATGGAGCATCGTGTGCATTTGTTGTTGATTGACACTTTGCATAAGAGAAGGGAGAGCAAGCACCGCGAATATGGGAGGAGGGTGAGTTTGTAAGACGGTGCAGGTTTGCAGACGAGGCGAGGCATACGTTCTGTAGCAGGATGCGAGCAAAGGGAAACTCTTGACAGCTAGTTTAGGGTCAGGTCAGTACTGTACTACTACGTTGCAACGTCCTCTCAGACAAAGTATAACAGACCTGCTGACCGGAGATATGACATATCCTTATTTTTTGTGTTCTGTGTGTGTGTGTGTGACAGTGTGAGACCGAGGAGCATGTAAAGGCATTTGACAGGGCAGAAGACGTGAGGACCAACTTTTTTCATCTAGCACTACGCAAATGCATTCTTATCAATTGGATTGAACCTAATAATGTGTGATAAATGAGAGATATATTAAACTAGAGAGCATGGATGCTTTAGCTCTGAAAATGCAAATAACATATTTTTAGATCATGAAAATTAAATATCTGGTTTTATCCTCTAGGAAGAGGAATGAGGCCAACTTATTAATTAAAAAACACATTGAAACAAAGAGAGAGTTTACAAAACAAATCTGACTAAAAACACAAATCTGACTCAAAATTCAGTTCTAAAACTAAAATCTAAATAACATGCATTTGAATAGTAAACAATGCATGCATGAAAGAACATTAGTTTGCACAGTTCCAATTGATGCGTGCATACGCGGTCAATCAAGTCCTTGTGTGTATGCACAAACAAGATATAACAGGACAAAATACAATTACCAATTTGATAAAAAGTGGTGGGTTAACAACAAGATAAACCATTATAGCATATTTTGATCTATTGATGGGAACTCAAAAGAAGTGGCACAAGTATAACAATCAACTTTATATTAGCTAACGTACAGATGAAACATCCAGTAAGATTATATAAACATGTGCTAGTTTTCTTGGTGACTTTGCATTTTAATAAAATGGTTCTGTCAGTATATTACTATATGATGAACGATGTGCCCTTCCAGTCGATCACATAACTTTGAAGAAATAATTCCTAAATATAGATGATTTGATCACTGATCACATAAGACAAATTTGACACATGTATGAATGAACCAAAAAAAAGAACCTAAATTTGTATATCTTATATTCATGAACTACCAAGAACTAAATCCTCCCACAAGTGCCACTGCACTACCAATGAATCAGATTAGATTTTTCTGCTGATTACTCATCTAAAGTCGCCACGAGGCAACAGCAAGTCGATAACTTGAGCATGCAATGATGCAGTGACACGCTAAAAAAGAATCAAGCATTGATTCACCAGGCTGCCGAGATGCAAGATTCGCAGTAGTGCACCTCACGCACTGACGCACCTGTTGTTGGCGTACTCGTAGAGGCGGCCGCGGCTAGAGAAGACGATGAGCGCCACCTCGGCGTCGCACAGGATGGAGAGCTCGTACGCCTTCTTGAGGAGCCCGTTGCGGCGCTTGCAGAAGGTGACCTGCCGGCTCGTGTTGTTCTCGATCCTCTTGATCTCAATCCTTCCCCTCCCCATGCTGGAGATCGCAGCTGAAAGGGCAGCCGCGGAAAGTTTTTTCTCATGAGAGCAAGAGAATTCAAGGGACCGACGAACTAGCAGCTTGATAGATCTAGCCACAGTAGTACACTGGCAAACAATTTCACGGGGTGCAAAGGGAAAAGGAGAACACGGATCGATTCAAGAATTAATCTGCCCGAGGCGACAGAAATGACAGAAGAGAATACACGCAAAGATGACAAATTTTCCATGATTTGACAGACGAACTCACGACTGGACAGATCGATGCCTGGCAGACTCGATCAGTTAAGTTTCTCTCGGCCCGGAAAAGAACACAGATGCTGGGCAAGCTAAGACGATCATGTAAACGAAACCAGCCACAAGAACACAAGATCTACGAGTTCGTTTGTTCGGTTCGGCGCGAAATATAGATGGGGAAAAGAAGCCAAAACAAACAAACAAACCAGCAATGAGATGGACAATAATAAGGAGCTGCTTCTTTTTTCCCTGAAGAGAAAGCTCATCTTCTTCCAGCTTCTTCAACCGGAAGAACTCGTGGATCGCTCAGAAGAAGATAAAGGATCAGATGCGAAAAGAAGCAACAAAATCTAGCAAACAAACTTTAGACAGTTCTAGGTAGGCAAGAATATAATCAGGGCAAGTTGAATTATCATCACAAAAGCAAGAAGCAGCCGGGAGCTGGATATATATGTGTGCTGCAAATGCATATATAGCGTCTTGACTTTTTCTTTTTCTCCCCCATGTATAAAAGATCAATGATCTAGTCATCGAGCTGCTACTAGGAGGGAGAAATCTCTCATCAGAAGCAAAAAGTTGAAACCTTCCAAAGCTTAGTAACGCAGGGAAAGACAGCATAGATGCATACATATAGAAAGCAGGAAAAACGGAAATCAAGTGTAAACAAAGAAGCATCATCCAAGTAGTCAGCAGAAGCCGGCATGGTTTTCCTTCCAAGAACTCGAAGCACAGAAAAGGGGAATTCTTTCCTCAAAGGGAGAAAGTACAAACGACGAGATCGATCTCGATCAGCTAGCAGAAACTAGATGCCGGATCACAAGATGTATCACAGAACTGATGCAGAAAGAAATACGGCTGAAATTTTTTAGCATGTAAAGAGATAACCTAGATGGAAAAGCGATACTACTCTACCTTGTTCCTCTCTGCTAGTTTCTTGGACTTGCAAGCAAGCTAGGAAAGGGAGCTCTACTCCTACTTTGGTTCCTCCGATCCCTCCCTTCTGCGTCCAGCGTGAGGGGGTAAAGTGGTTTAATAGCAGGCCGGCCAGGCCAGGCAATGCGCGCAACGGAAAGAAAGGGTGGGAGTGGGATGGGATCAGAAGCAAAGCTGCAGCAGGAGAGAAAAAGAGGAGAGAGGAGCGAGAGAGATGGCACAGCAGGGGCAAAAGGCCACTACCACTGATGACCAGCGCCTGCTATCTTGCTTAACCATATATAGCCATTTAGACATCTTTACATATATTCTTAAAGCGTTTTTGTTTATGGCCTCTCCTTTTTTTCTATCCGTGTGTTTTGTGTCTCCAAGAACTGGTAACGTGCAGTTCGATCAGTATATATAAACTGAATATAAGAAACCCGTTCTGTTCCGGCCGTTGTATATATTTAGTGCAGCAAAATCCAGCTTAATTTGCTGTACCATTTTCTACTTGCCAAAATCTGTGGTTTATTTGCGTTTTGGTCATGCATGCATGCATGATGATTCCAGTGTTAGTACTGCTAGCCTTGATAAGGACTACTTGTAACAAAATGTGCATGTGAAGCAAGCTTAGATGGATGGATGCTTGTTATTCCCGTTGTTATCACATGTAGTACGCGCTGTTACATATATAAACATGCATGTTTTCAGCATATATAGATAGAGGCAACAATTATAACTAGCTAACTAACAGTGGTACGGTATATGGTCAAATTTAATAATATATGATGATGGGACTAGCTGTGTTTAACAGGCATATTTAGAGTTTCCTTATTGGTGTTGCTGCATATATTATGCATGAAACATACGTACACAGAAAACTACACACCCTGTACTACTAGTACCTTTTTTTTTGTATCCTTTAGCATGTGTGTGTATGTATGCACAATTGCACATATGAGAAGCCATGATGATGAGTTTTATTCTGTTACATGTATCCATGATATGTGTGCTATGCCATGTATGTGTGGTATAGTACTCTTCCAAGTCCCAATTGCCTGCCATTTCACATGCATGCATGAAAAGCACTGGTACAGCAGCAGAGCAGCAGCCAGCGCCTCTCATCTTATGAGGATGAGCTGCAAAATAAAACATGGAGAGTTCTTGTGCAAGGTAGCAGTCACATGCATGCAAATCCTCTTGCTACTCATTACGATACTACTCTCTCAGATGCAGTTCTTGCATGCAACATCTAGCTTCTTGTTGGTTCTCTACCCTACCCCCTCCCTCCCTCTGATGCACAGATTTGACTGCCCCTGCTTGCTGCTCTTGTGCTAATGCTGGTGGGGCAGGATGGAGCCATGGAGGAGAACATTTGCACCCATGCTCATTATGCTTCAAGCATTCAGATTGGGCGCTGTGGTGGTTAAAAGCTACTTTGGTTGGAAATTATAGTTTTTACTTTGGTTGTGTCAAAAGTCAAACTCCTCCAACTTTGACTAAGTTTGTATAAAAAATGTACATCATCATCTACAATATCAAACTAGTTTCAGTAACTAAACCGCCATGAAATATGTTTTGATATTGCATTTGTTTGAATTTATACATATTAACACGTCTTTTTTTTCTTCTAAAAACTTGGTCAAATTTATATAAGTTTGACTTAGGACAAAGTTTAAGTCTACTATAATTTGGAATGGAGAGAAGTAGCTTGGAGTTTAACTTACCTCTAGAACACTCTTTTGATGCATGCATCCCGCTTAGAACAAAATAAATTAGTTTCTAGAATCATCCTAAGTCAAACTATCTCGAGTTTGAGCAGCTTGCTCGATCTTTTGTATAAATTTGGTCAAACTTAAAATAATTTGACTTTGGACAACTCTAGAAATTGCTTTGTTTTGGGGAGAAAGGAGTAAATTAAAAGGTAGTTGTGTTAATTTCTTGTTTCAAACATCACCCATATGTCCTAATTATAATTCCACTTGCCTGGAGCATTTTTTATGCATGATTTATTTTGATTTGATTGGACAAAAGTGATGATGTTTATAGTAGGGAGGGAAGTGTTTATATTGAAGAAAGGAATAAACTAGTTCTGTGGACCGTATTTGCATTGCTTGGTAGGGTACGGTACTGCATTATTCTAGTGTTGTGTTTCTATAGCTACAAATTAGTTTGAAGATTAAAACACGTACTTGCGCTTTAAGCAATGTATAGCAGTAACGCTTAGGCATATATCGCACATATTTCCATTAGCATTTGGGACAGTGGAAGGTCACATAGTACTACTTACTGTCACTTGTTGATGGATCAGGGTGGAGGACAGAGAAAGAGGACTGGAAGATATCAAAAGATTTTTAGTTTTTGTGATGATAAGCTAAAAGGTGGAGAGAGAGAGAGAGAGGTACAACAGTATGGGCCAGCAGGCAGGCACTGGGCCAATGGAGAGCGATGAATGGGCGGTCGATGTCGAGTTGCCGAGTCGGGGAGGGCAGCACCTGATCCCGCGCCACAGGCCTTCCCGAACCAGACACCCACTTGGGTGCTACGCATCCACTCGCTTTCTTCTCCGTTGTGTGCAGCCAGCTGCTAGCTGCAATCAACCACCACTACGCCTCTGTATCTGCCTCTCCTCGGCCTAGCTGCCTGCCTACCTGCCTGCGCTGGTGCTGGATGACATGGCCTGCGTGCCCGGCTGCCCATCACCAGTACTACCTCGTCTGCCATGCACTTTGATGGCCGGATCATGGACGACCGGATGGGGCTGGCTCATGGATCTCATGCACTGCAGCTCCTTGCTAGCTAGCTACTGGCTGCTGGCTGCTGCAACGTCGTACGCATCAGCTAGCTCTAGCATCACTCACGCACCTAGCAGCTAGACCACACGATACCACTGTTGATGATAATATATACTCCCTCCTGTTGATATCCTTTGGATCGACTAGAGTAGATCTAGACGGATGAACTCATAGAACCATGAAACACATGCACATTTAGACCTAGAACACTACACCGAGAGGGAGATAGGGGAGAGAGGACTGGTGATGAACCTGAGCCTCCAGATGATGTCGCGGTTGTGCCAACCATCAGCGGGTTCGGTGATGGAGGCAGCACACGGCAGCGACGGGTGGAGTAGAGGTTGCACGGACGTCGATGCAGGTCGATCGGTCGGGCGTGGCGTGCGATGGCGACGGCGAGGATCGGTGGAGCTTCCGTCATTGGTCAGGCGCTTCCCTCGAGATCGGTCTAGGGTTTTGTCGGTGGGTTTGCGGCTCACGGTGAACCTCGTACCTTGAGCCGCCGCCCCACCTCTTTATATAGCGCATCGCGACGGGGCCCACCAACCATGTAGGGTTGATTGATCTCTGACCAATAAGCCCAGCGGCCTGTTGGGCCTTGGTCTCAGCGCCACGATGGGGCGCCCAACCCCATGGTTGGTGGGCCCCGTCGCCTTTGCGCTATATAAAGAGGTGGGGCGGCGGCTCAGGTCACCGAGAGCCACCGTGAACCCAAACGGCCGACAAACCCTAGACCGATCTTGAGAGGCGCGCAGCACAACGACGGGTGGAGTAGAGGTTGCACAGACGTCGATGCGGTGCGGTCGGGCGTGGCGATGGCGACGGCGAGGATCGGTGGAGCTTCCGTCATTGGCGGGCGCGCCTCTCGAGATCGGTCTAGGGTTTTGTCGGTGGGTTTGCGGCTCACGGTGAACCTCGTACCTTGAGCCGCCCCCACCTCTTTATATAGCGCTTGATCACGATGGGGCCCACCAACCATGTAGGGTTGGGCGCCCCGATCGGCGCGCAGACCAAGGCCCAATAGGCCGTTGGGCTTATTAGTCAGGAGAT